GGGAGGGGAGGGGAGGTTGTTATGCTTGGGGATGGCAGTCCGGCCGTGAAATCCAATGTGCACGAGATGTTGAGACTAAAATGAATCAGCTTTGTAAATTTGCACCCAAAGCATAATTAAAAAAAAAAAAATTACATTTATAAGAAGTAGGAAAAAAACTTAAAAGTTTTTTTTTTTTAAAAAAAAAAGGCTGTAACTGAACAGAACAACCAGAGCAGAAATCATGAGGAAATTCAGTCCGTTGTGGAGAACGTGACCAGTGTCCCTGCACAACCTGTGTAGAGACTGTGGAACGGGAACCCAAACTGGGGTGTAAATGGTTACCAAAAACACAACTAATATATATATGTATATATATATATAAAATTGTTCTTGTTATGTGCCATCAAGTCAGCCCCAACTCATAGCGACCCCTCCTTGGATTTTCGAGACAGTATCACTACGGAAGTAGATTGCCCAACCTTCCTTCCGAAGAGTGGCTGGTGGGTTTGGTTAGCAGTCAAGTGCCTTAGGTACTGCGCCACCAGAGCTCCTGCCTTCACAGAAGCAAAGCCCAAACCAAAGTCACTGCCATTGACTTGACTTGACTCCTAGCGACCCCTCCTTGGGTTTCCGAGGCGGTATCACTACGGAAGTAGATTGCCCCATCTTCCTTCCAAGGAGTGGCTGGTGGGTTTGAACCACCAGCCTTCTGGTTTGCAGTCAAGTGCCTTAGACACTATGTTACCAGAGCTCCCATATATAATAATAATAATAATAATAAAAAGACTACAGGAATATTGGGCAATCTACTTCCGTAGTGATACTGCCTCGGAAACCCAAGGAGGGGTCGCTATGAGTCAGATCCGACTCGACAGCAGTGAGTGAACTTGACAATGTCACTCAGTGGCCCATGTAGAGACAGGAATTGGTGTATGTTTTTGCCGTGTGTATGCTCAACAACAGCACAATAAAGAATTAAAAAGACTGTGACCCCCAGGGTTCATTAGAGCACTTCTCACAACAGCCGATAGGTGGAAACAACCAAAACCATTGATGGATGGATGGGCCAACAGAACGCAGCCTGTCCACACAGCAGGACACCACTGCGCCATGAAGAGAAATGAAGTCATGATGCAGGCCTCGAACCTAAAATGGCTGAACCTAGAAAACGTCATGCTGAGTGACAGGCGGCCGTCCCCAGGGCACAAACATCGTGTGATCCCACTTACGTGAAATCTCTAGATGAGGCAAGGGTATAGAGACCACTGCTTATTGGCGGTTGCCAGCTACAAGTGGAAGGAAGCCTGGCGGTGCAGTGGTTAAGAACGCGGCTGCTAACCAAGAGGTCAGCAGTTCAAGCCAACCAACCACTCTGGGGATACAGATGAGGCAGTCTGCTCCTGTAAAGATTTACAGCCTTGGAAACTCAGTGGGGGTCGCTGTGAGTCAGAATCGATTCACAGAGATGGCAGTGAGTTGACACGGTGCTATGTTTGCATCACCGCACAGTGTCTGCTACTTTTCTGCATCTTTGAACATTTCCATAGTAGGGGGAAGTTGGGGGAGACGGTGGAAAGTACAGCAATAAACTAATATAAATCTAAAACCTAGTGGAAGAGGGTGGGGGTAGAGTCGAAGAAAGAGATGTGAGGACGGAGCAGGGCTCAGAGAGAGGCTGCCCTGCTGGCTTGGAGATGGAGGAGGGGCGCCCCAAGCCAGGGAACGCGGGCAGCCACTGGCGGCTGGAAAAGGTAAGGGACCTTGTTCTCTCACAGTTTCCAGGAAGAAACAGGGCGGTCAACACCTGGATGTTACCCAGTGAAACGGTAAGATAATAAATTTGTTTTGTTTTAAACCAAAGAAGAAGGCTATCCTCCAGAGGCAGGCAGCAGACAGAACAATAGTATTCTTG